AGTTTTTTGAGTTATTAACAAAAAATATGGTCCCATTTTAGTTCTTTATAAAAAAAAGTAGTCTTGAGGTCTCTAAAAAATTTAAAGTGAACTCATTTAGTTAAAATTGTGGTTCCTCACAAATTCAAAAAAAATTCACATTAATCTTTAAAAAAGACTAAAATGATTTCACTTTAAATTTCATAGGAACCAAACAACTATTTTTTTTTTTTTTTTTAAGAAACTAAAATGAAAATTATATTTTTTTTGTTAGAAAACAAAAAAAACTTTACTCAAAATATTATTTTTTGTCATATTTAATTAACGATGTACTAAGTATTGTGCCACAGGAGCACTGAAATATTTCCACCATCCACGGTCCTACGCTGCTGCTGCTGTCCGTTGTCTTCTTCGATTGATTAGCTTGCTGACTATGGTTTCTGTATGTTCCGCCGTTTGTTCGCCATTCTCTGCTCTCTCTAGTGCCGTTCGTCCGTTCGCCATTCTCTACTCTTTTTTACATATGCAAACTTTAAAACTTTTCTTTGAATTATTCCTTTGCTAAATTCCACCTCTTATTATATTCCTTTCTTATACCTTACTAATTATAATTTCCATTTTAGTTCTAAAGTTGATAAATGACTAATGTGTTTGGTTTGTGTACGTTAAACAAGTGGTCTATATGTGCACAAAAATTATAATTTTTTTTTGGTAATTACAATAATTATAATTTCACTTGGCCTAGCTATGCAATTAACCAAAAGTTTGTTCCTTATATTGAGGATTTTTTTCTCATACTTTAACATGTTTTATAATCCACTGATATTATTTTCTTTCTTTCTAATATTCTTTTTCATTTCCCCCTATTTTTTTGGGGGTATAAATGGAGGGCAATACGCCAAAAAACAAGGCCAAAACAACTAAAACAATAAGTTCAACAAGCCATTTCCAGCTTGCACCATTATATTATTTCTAAGATCTGAGTCTGCTAGGAACTCTACTGCAAAAGAAGATTAATTATCAGAGATAATCGTTCTACAGTACTGTTGGTAGTTGAATCCCAACTTTGTCAAACAATAAACACAATTAAAGGTTATCCAGAGTCCTTTCCCGTGTGAACAATCCCAGAGCACGTGAAGGGTAGTTTTTGCCTACGAAGCACCAATACTTCAAAAATCCTGACGTGTCGTGTCCGACACTTTCCGACATTGCAACACTCGTTGTAGAGACTCAAAAAAGGGTTTAAAGGTTGCGTTGTGTTGCGTTATTAGTTTCAATTATTAGATTCGTTGGATTACAATTACCATTTTATTGAGTTTAATATAAATATTTGGGATATCTTATGTTTCTTTGCAAAATTGATGGATATTATAAATTTAACTTCATTTTTTTGTTAAATTATTAAGTATTAAATATAATATACATTATATAAATTAAAAATAATATTTAATATTAAAACGTGTCTAACGTGTCGAAATCTAATATTTTTTAGAATTAACATAACAGAGTATCGTGTCTCGTGTCCTATGTCGGTATCGGTGCTAGATAGATTTTTCGCATGGTGAGACTCATAAACTGGCCCACAAATAAACGATAACCCTGATTGAAAGGGACGACCATTATGTCCTTCAAGGAATAGCCACCAATGAATCAGAAAACAACAACGTAACAACCACCATTGGGGAAACGTCACCCAAGACAGAAACACGAAACTTCGAACAAGTTTAACCCAGACCACCCCTATGGTTACTTGCTCCTTGTCCCATACAGGTGGAAAAAACTAACATGCAAGTGCACGAGGATAATACCTACATAGTGCATCAACACGACACGATGTGGAAAATGAGCCACATGGAGCTACCAATACTAGACCATCAGAGTGCAATGCAGAAGTTGAATTGATATCAGAACAAACCACTCAAGTTAGTAGCCCTTGTGGATTCACAGAGGGAGGCAACTTCCATGGAGCGATCGTCCACATTACTGATCTTGCAATAGAGACGACACAAGGAAGCAAGCCTTTAACCTTGCAACAAAATCAATCTCATCAATGAATATACTGACGTGGAATTGTAGGGGTGCTATAAAGAAGCACTTCAGAAGCACGTTCACAAGATTTAAAAGTTAGTACCACTTAGGTAGGCTAGGGGTGTGCAAAATACCCATATAACCTTAACCACATTGAGAATCAAATCGAATTGAATCCAAAATAACCGAATTTTCAAATCAGTTTATAAACTAGAATCATTTTTAATTTTTTAAAATAATTCAATTTGAACTGATTCCTTAATTTATTTGTAACCAATTCAACCTGAACCGAACCATTTAATAATATCAGTTCTTTTCATCTTTTTCTACTCAACTTCTCATCTTCTCTCTCTCATACAACAGTTTCTCTCTCTGTTTTCTCTCTCTCTTGAAACCACAAGATGGGTTATGCTGCAGTACAAGTGTTTCTGATCTTTGGGCTATTGGCCACATCATGCATAGCACAAGCACCTGGTGCTGCACTTAACCAGCATCAACCCCACGACCATCGCCCAAATCAGCACCAGCTTCGTCACCGACAACAAAAACCCCCTGTCTCCAGCACCAGCACCGTCGCATAAAAAACCAACACTAGTAGTGATGAGGCTGCACTTGTGGAGCATTTAAGGAAGAACCCAATGTTTCGAGTAGGCCTTCGCTTTATTTAGTTCCTTTCCAGCTTAATATCGAGCAAGCATTAGGCTTATCCTTATTGCAAGCTTTCCCTTTTGCTAGTTTTCAAGGATTTGGACAATTGGACTAGCATTACGAACATTTTGCATTTAAGAAGATGAGAACGCCAAGACATGTATGTTTTACACATGCTTTGAGAAACAATGAATTTGAATAAGCAAACTGGTTCGATTCTTTGAACTCAATTTTTTTTAATTGAACTGGTTGGGAAATGGTTCAAAAATGGTTTTAGGTTGGAACTGATTTGAAACTAGTTCATAATCGGTTTGTGTCAAACCGGTTCTGAACAAACCGAACCGATTCTATTTTAAAAAAATAGATCGGTTCAAAGAACCAAACCGGTTAAAGCAGTTCAGTTCGGTTCTTCCAAAAAATCAGTTCGGGTCGACCCATGCCCATCCCTAGGTATGGCTGCAATTTTGGAGCAAAGAGTGAATTGTCCAAAAGCACGCAGCATTATCAACAAGTTGCGATTTTCTGATGCAATCATTACTGAAGCCAAAGGTTTCTCGGGAGGTATTTGGGTTTTGTGGAATGGTGAGACTTTTTTTTATCACCCGAGGGCATGTTTGAGAGTTACTTTAGGAAGAAAAAATAAAAGGAAACAAAGGATTATATTTGTATTTCCTCTAGTTTATGAGTTTAAAGAAATAAGGGAAGAGAATTGAGATTTTTTGTAAAATCTTTCAAAAATATTCTCACCATTAAAATTAAAGTTTCCCCCAATTTAGAGGGATTGAGGGGAAAATATTAGAAATTACTTATCTATCCTTAGCATTAACAATGGATTATTGGATCCATTACCTTTCCTTAATTTATTGTTCTGTTTAACAAACCACCGCGTTATTCTTTGCTAAAGCTCACTTTACTTTCTGCATTATTTTATTTTGTTAATTTCACACCATATCACACCTTAACTATTTATTCCTATGATCTGTCGTTTCTCCTTATATTATGAAGGACTTGAGTATATAACGACACAGGGAATTGTATAAAGTTAAACTGAACCATTTGTCACAAGGGAACACCCTTCGGATACTTGGGAACGTCAATCAGGATAGTTCAATACTGTTAACCTATTCTTTTCATTCTTTAACACAGCCTGAAATATCAGTTAACAATACTTTCTCCGTGGAAACGATAATCTGGGACTTAAACACTCCTCTTTATTACTTGATGCGTGCACTTACGCGAAGTGGTCTTCCTTCTAAGGAACGAATGTGTTTCCTCTGACTGATTGTAAAAAAGACCAAAGTCACAATTTTGGGAACAAATGTGTTTTTCTCGATAGACTGCAAGAGGACCCAACAAGATCCAATGGTTTATTCTGGCTATCTGAAGATTTCTTCATTATAGTCTCCTTGGGATCACTCCTTTCAGTCTTGTCCTTTTGACTTTGCTCTCCTTTGCTTTCGGTTGAAGCTTCGCCTTCCTCATTTTCTTGCTCCTTAGTATCATTGATATCAATATCCACACTCTTTTGCACCACTTTAGGTTTATCATGAGGTTAGATCACCTTTCCGCTCCTAGTAGTGATTGCCTTGCAATGCTCCCTCGAATTAACTACGGTGTGTATAAGAAAGATGCCTTGACTCCTCTCAGCCAATTGTCTTGATAACTGCCCAATTTGGTTCTCCGAATTTCTAATGGATGCCTCATGGTTCTTGAAAGAAGATATGGCCTCTTACATGAATGCACTTGTATCGTTCATGAAGGCATTGGTTCCTTGAATATAATCATTGGTGGTCTTGGTTAGTTGCATCAGTGCCTTCTCCAATTCTGAAGTGTTATTCTCCTCTTAAAGAAGAGGAAGTTGCAATTGTTGTGGTGACTTGTAAGAGAAGCTTGGGTGAGTCTTTCACTTGGGATTATACGTGTCACCATAAGGATTGTTCTCCCTCTTCTGGTTGTACCAAAGTGAGTTCACCTGAGATGGGTCACTTCCTGCTAGAGCATAACAATTGCTGCTAACATGGTTGCCTCCTCAATGTTCATATACAGGCAGTTGTGCTTGAATAGCAAAAACTTGATATTTCTCAAACATGCTAGTGGGATTGGCAATTTGTTGAGACTGAAGTTTCTGTTGAGCTAGGATTGCATCATTACTCTCCAATTGAAAAACTCCTCTTTTAGGCTATACTGGAGAGCTTTCATTCTCTAGTGAGGCCATAGACTCCAATAACGCAAATGCTTGAGTTGGCATTTTCTGTCTCAAGGAGCCTCCTACACTAACATTTACAAACATTCTTGAAGATAGTGTTATTCCATTGAAGAAAACACGAACCTTCTGTCTATGTGGCAGTTCATATTGGGGACATCTTCTAAGCAAATCCTTAAACCACTCCTATGCAGCACACATATATTCCCCGTACTGTTGGGTGAAGTTGGTGATCTCATTCACCATTTGATTGTAATTATCCATTGGAAAGAATTTGGCTAAGAACTTGATTGTTAGATCATCCTACATACTAATGCTACTCGCAGACTGTTGATTCAACCAACTTAACGCTTTGTCTTTTAGTGAGAACTGGAATGGCCTTAATCGAATGGCTTTATCAGGAACACCAATTGTAACAGCCTGTTACGTACCGGTAATGTTATCATTGCATATGGTATTAAGCACAGTTACAATCACAGTAATTGAGTTAGTTAAATTACGGGTAAACTTTTTCTTTTATTAACTCCTTAACTTTAAATATTAACCATTTTCGTAATCAATTAAAAACAACACTGTAATCGTAAATGCAAAACTCGTGGAAGCATAAAACTTATTTATTATAACCCCTCTAAGAAATATCATCACTTTAGGTTGTAAAATGACACTTTTTCAAAATTTTGTACAGTGGGAATCGATTCCCAACAGCCAGGAATCGATTCCCAGCAGTTACTGTAGAAGTCAGTAGCTTCAATTTGGCTCCCCTGTTCCGAGGAATCGATTCCCATTCTTAGAATTGATTCCCAACCCTCAGTGGCTTAAATTCACGTGTTCTGTCTCAGGGAATCGATTTCCTACTGTGAAAAACCAGTTTTGACAGCTTTTTCACTTCAAAAGGGATCCATGATTTCATTCTTATCACATTAATACTTACTATAACCCATGTACCATTACTAATGTAGGCTCTAGGCCCTTCCATCATGCATATTCATTATGTAATGCATCAATTACAATATTTCCCATTTGTTTTGCCATTTACACATCGTATGGCTCATTTTGCATCACAAGTCACTAAATGCCTTTAAACATAATGTGTGGCCATGGACAAGTCCCATGCTCAGGAAAATACCAATATAAACCAAAGGCATGAAATATAAATCAAATACAAAAGACTTAGAATCTAATCATGAACACCACAAAAGCATGGAAATCTCAACATGCAATATGTTCATGATCTAAGTCCCAAAATGCTAAATAAAATGCTATGTGCATCAAATATGCTCCTCCAAAATGTCATGCTCTCCATATGCACATCAAGGTCTGACACCTACACTAAGCGGGCCTCTTGCCCGAAGCTCCCCCATGCTCACTATATCCTGAAATGATGTCCCTAAACGCGGGGTGAGATATACAAATATATATCAGTAAACCAAGGGTACTAGAGGATCACTCCACCCCATGGCTCACTTAATGTGCAACAAATAACATTATGTAAAATGCATGACATACAATATCACAAACAACTGGGCACAAATCCAAGAACATCCACATCGGGATTCCGTTCAAGGACCCCATCATATAACTCCCGAGAAGATTCCTGGTGCCTCTCTCACGGATGAGACGACCCCATGGCAAAACCTAACTGGAACTCCTCATGATCCCTATCCAGCGGAAATCCCACGTTTGGATCATCCTGGTACCGCTCCCAGAGTCGGCCCCACGGTAAAACCCGGCCGGAATCCTCAAAGGATATCTCCAGCGGAAGTCCAAACCAACACACATCTACTAGCCAGAGACCACAAATATCTCACACACAAATAAGCAATAATGCATGAAAATACATAATCACACAATGCCAAAAGCACAAAATCCAACCACAACCTTCCACTAGGTGTGGTGGAGCACACAAGGGACTAAACCCAAGTTCCAAAGGTTTACCTCAATCCAAGAGCAATGCTCCACACGTAAGCTCCAAGCTTAATCCGTTTCTATCGCATCTGTTAGAGGCAACCTATATGATCAACACATTGACCATCAATCATATGCAAACAATTCATCAATTTCACAAAACTTATAACCAATTTTTTAGCCACTTATGCCAAATAGCCCACATCATTAATTTCTCCTATCTCAATCACATTACCCCTCAAACTTAACAATTATTCACTAACAGATCAACCATTAATTAAACCATAATTCCACCTCAATTTTTCCTTAATTTCCCTCTATGGTTCGAATTTCTCAAGGGCATAAACCAAGACTTTCAATTCAATTTAACACCAATACTCATCATGAAATCCTATTATTAGTTCATATCCATGCTCCATAATTCATTCATCCAATCCCACATCCATGTTATTTCACAAAATCATCAATATCAACTCCAATTTTCACTAAGTTATAATTTTCCAAATCACAATAAATTTTATTGCATCAATCATCATCATTTATCATTCTAAGCATTTAATTCCAAAGGAGACATACCATTTAATGCTCCTAACTACCACAACTCAACTTACAACTTCAAAACCCTCATCCAATTTATGATCTCATTGAAAACTAAATGAGAGTGAGAAATCTTACCACTAATAGCTTCCTAGGATCCAAGGGGATGATCTCCAACCAATGAATAAACCCAAAAGTCACCAAAAATTCTCCAAAATGTCCAAAATTTCGTGGCTGTTTGAGGGGCTTTTCTCTCTCCACAATGCTCCCCACAAGATGCACTATATATGAAAGTCATTCACAAGAGTGTGGGGAACAACTTTGTAGTTGGAAGTTTTTCCTATAAGTGGATAGAAAATGGATTTGAAATTCAAAAGCTCCCTAACCCTATTAATGGTGAAAGCTCACGGGAGAGAAGGAGAAAGAGGAGAGAGAGTGTGCAGAAATTTTGACTCACTTGGTCCATTTGTCACTTAAGTGACTTATTTACAAAAAAAAAAAGTGACTTAAGTGGGTCCCACATGCCAATTAACTTTCTTAAATCACCCAATATAATCCACAAATTCATAACCTACGTATTTTTCTCGTTCACGTCATATTTTTACTTCTAAAAATACTGATCAAAATATCACGCTTATCGGTACAATTATACAGCAGTATTTTCCATCAGAAAAATTATTATTCACCAAAATTTCCGAAACTTGCCTAACCACTCGATTTTTCGCCCTGAATCCATTTTCGGCATTATTTTAATCATTTGAGATCTCTACTCAATTTTTCATGCCTAGGGATATGTGTTTGGTAAATTACCATTTTGCCTTTTCTACGTATTTTGGCCCTAATTTCAGGATTTTCACTAATCCTTCTCTTTTAATCAACATTATCACATATAACTATACATTTAGAAATACGAGGTGTTATACTATTCATCTTCATAGTGTCGCAGATCAGCAAAAACTTATGCAGATGGTAGTGAGGGTCCTCCATATTGCTTCCCTCGAACATGTTCTGTTGGACCAACAAGAGTAGTGCTGAATTGATTTCAAAGTTGTTTGCCGCAACTGTTGGCCTTACAATGCTTGATGTGGCCCTTGTGAAGTTTGGAGTCAAGAATGAGTCCATCAACTCCTATTGTGATGGTGGATTATTATTGTCTTCCATCGCGGCTTCTGCTGGTGACTATGAACTTGATGCTTCTTGTTGTTTCCTGAGCTTAGCGAGCTTCCTATCCCTCTTTGCAGTCTTCTCAATATCTGAATCAAATTTTAGAGAATCAGGATGAACTGTACCTCGCAAAGAAGAAAGAACAACAATTCAGCCAAATAATATAATGAACTAAAATTAGAAACAGTAAAATTAAAAATCCAATCTTAAGTATCTATATAACAGCTCGTTACGTACCGGTAATGTTATCATTGCATATGGTATTAAGCGCAGTTACAATCACAGTAATTGAGTTAATTAAATTATGGGTAAACTTTTTCCTTTATTAAATCCTCATTGTTAAACAATATCCAATTTCCGTAACTAATTAAAATAATGCCGTAATTGTAAATGCAAAACATGCGGAAGCATTAAAGTTATTAATTATAATCCCACTAAGCAATACCATTAAATCTAGGTTATAAATTGACACATTTTCAAAATTTGTGCAGTGGGAATCGATTCCCAACCTCCATGAATCTATTCCCAATAGCTACAGTAACAGACAGTAACTAAAATTTGACTCCCCTATTCTGAGGAATCGATTCCCACCCAAAAGGAATCGATTCCCTGAAGCAGAGTACGTAAAGTTCAGCTACTGTGATGTTGGGAATCAGTTCCTTTCAAGAGGGAATAGATTCCTATACTGCAAAATCACATTTTGACAGCTTTTAAATCACTAACAGGATCATGTTTTCTACTCCTAACACTTTGGTGCTCAACATACAACTTATACAAGTACTAATGTAGGTTCTAGGCCCTTCCATCATGCATATTCATTAATCAATGCATAATTTACAATATTTCACAATTCCATTGCCATTTAAACCTCAAATGGCCCATTTTACATCACAAGTCTTCCAATGCCTCAAAATACAACATGTGTGGTCATAGATAAGTCCCATGCTCACCAAAATACCAATAAAATCAAAAGGCATAAAGTATAGATGAATTACAAAGACTTGGCATATAGTTATGAACATACAAAAGCATGGAAATATGCACATGCAATAAGTTCATAACCTAAGTCCAAAATATTAAAAATTATGCTATGTGCATCAAATGGAATCCTCCAATATGTTATGCCCTCCAAATGAACCCCATGCTCAACTCCTCCTCTAAGCTGGCCTCTTGCCCGAAGATACTCCATGCTCAACAACCTGAAATGATGTCCCAAAACGCGGGGTGAGATATACAAATATATCTTAGTAAACCAAGGGTACTAGAGGATCAGTCCACCCCATGGCTCACTCAATGCGCAACAATAACATCATGTAAAATGCATAACATACAAAATCACCAAACAACTGGGCACAAATCCAAGAACATCCACATAAGGATTCCGTTCAAGGACCCCATCATATAACTCCCGGGAAGCTTCCTGGTGCCTCTCCCATGGATGAGACGACCCCATGGCATAACCCAACTGGAACTCTTCATGATCCCTATCCAGCGGAAGTCCTACGTTTGGATCATCCTGGTGCCGCTTCCAGAGTCTGCCCCACGACAAAACCCGACCGGAATCCCCAAAGGATATCTCCAGCAGAAGTCCAAACCACACACATCAACTGGCCAGAGATCACAGATATATCACACCATATGCTCCAAG